AAACCAGCATAACTAGAGGTAAGTGAATGAGTCAGGGAACAGTAGGAGAAGAGGAAAAAGAAGTATCCAGGGGTCAGATTAAGGAGTTGGATTTTATCCTGAGTAATATGGGAATTCTCTGGAAGATTTTGAGCAGGATAGTGACATGAACTGATGTCACTTTAATAGTATCTCTCTGGCTGCTGTAGTTAAAGGATGATGGTGCCATTCATTGAGGTGATGAAGACTGGGAGAGGAGCCAGTTTGGGCATGGAGTCGTGGTGGGAACAAGAGTTCTGTTTAGACATGTTACATTTGATATGCCTACTAGTTATTTTAAATGGAATGTCTATTTGGCAGTAGGATGCATAAATTTGGAGCTCAGGATGGAGATAAAATTGGGAGTCATCAGCACAAAGGTTGATGTCTTAGTCTGGTTTCTCTAGAATAGTAAAACGAGTGAGAATATACATATACACACATAGTCGTATGCCGCATAACGTCCATTCAGGCAATATCTGAATGCATATACATGCTTGGTCCCATAAGGTTATAACAGAGTTCAGAAACCCTGATCAGAGAACAGGCCATAGTGGACGTAACCAGACACAGCAAATGCAACAGCTTCCCACACACAACAGGTGTATCTCTTGTCTCTTGTACACAAAGTGATTGTGCTGCCAGGCATGTAGTGATACAGTATGTACATAACCTATAACATATATGTCTTGATAATCATAATAAACGTCTGTGTTACTGACTTATGCATGTACTGTACTGTACTTCCTGTTATTTAATGTGAACTTTGCCTAGTTACAAATGAAAATTTTACCATATAACAGTGTATGCCTTGACTCGTAGGCAGCAGCATCCAATCTCATGTATTGCACATCTCTTGACCATTGTAGTGTTATCTCTCTGCTTAACTTTCTTCCAAAAATATTACTGTGAGGTGCATCATGACTCCCAAACACATCGAACCAAGTGCTAGTGATAGCAGCAGCAAGAAACAAAGGAGAACTATCAATTTAGAAGTGAAACAAAAGGTTACAAAACAACACTAAGATGGAAAACCAGTAAATGCTGTTGCTTGCAATTCAGGCATGTTTGCACAACATCCAAATCACATAGCATCTTATTTCACAGAACATATCGTGGACATTAAGTGACACATGACTATATATATATTTCTTTCAAGGAAATGGCCCATGCTCAAGGAAATGGCCCATGCAATTGTGGTGGCTGACAAGTTCCAATCTGTAGGTCAGGTGGCAAGCTGGAGACCTCTGCTGGCTCATGGGATTGCAAGGCTGGTGATTCCAAAATCTGCAGGTCAGGCAGCAGGCTGGAGACCTCTGAAAGCTTACATCCCAGATATCGGAGGTCAGGTGACAAGAAGAGAAGTAGACTGAGAGAAAATGAGCTTTGCCAAAACATCCATTTATATACTGGAGGCAGGCCACACCCCCAAGGGAACTCCACTCTCAACTGATTGGCTGCTCACATCAGATCACAAAATTATATTACATTATAGAAGAGCAACCAGTTCAGTATCTGCCAAATCACTGAGAATCATAGCCTAGCCAAGCTGACACATGACAGTAACCATCACAGTTGGTTTAGAGTCCTGGTCCTAGGTCAGATCACTCAGAGTGTGTATTAGTTTCTTGTGGCTGTCATAACAAATGACCACAAACTTGGTATTGGAAGTGCTATAATGTGGCTCTTTGAGAAGATTTAGGGGTAAGATCTTCCCAAGGTCTCCTCTAGATCCCCAGTTAGCACAGTAAGATTGTGATAACCGATGGCCCTGACCAGCTGCTTCTCCCTTTGATTTAAGCAGCTGTCTCTAGACCAAGGACACACTGAGATTGTTTATGAATCAAGATTTCCTCTTTAAGCTTTGACAGAGCCATTTCCATTTTCTATTATTCAGATTCCCTAAATTTTGTACATCAGTCAGTGGATACTGGAAAATATAAACCTCATAAAAATGCCAGATTAATTCTAGGCAGTCACGACTCAATTTTTAGTAGGTGGAATATGTTGTTCTGGTATACTAGGTCAATAATTTTAGACAGTTGTGCCCAAACAAGGAGGAATATATTCTTATTTTATGATTCTAAAACTCAGATTCTGAACTGCTAACATAAATTAAGATCAGTACTCTTAGCCTACTTTTGACTCCCTATATTTTGCTTTGTCAGAAGTCCAGATAAGAAAAAGGTTCTGAAAGTGGAAATAAGGAAACTTATATAAGTCACTTGTCACTAACCAAAACCCATTGCTGTCAAGTGGATTCTGACTCAGAGAGCCTATAGGACAGAGTAGAACTGCCCCATAGGGCTTCCAAGGCTGCAGTCTTTGTGGAAGCAGACTACCGTATCTTTCTCCCACGGAGTGGCTGGTGGGTTTGAACTGCCAAATGCTTAGAACTACCAGAGTTATTCTCTAAAATTAAATGTGTAGTATGATTGCATTGAGGAACCTTCTCTGGACATAGCTTTCCACTTGCTTACATTTCACTACTTAATAGTGACTACTTGGAGACCTACATAATTTATATGCTTGTCTTTATATAAAGACTAAATGGCACTTGTGGAAAAGACTATTTGTATTCGACAAATATCCTTGTGATTCTTTACATATCCCAGCCTCCCTTACAGTTAGACTGGGGCCATGTGACAAGTTCTCTCCAATGAAATGTGAACTGAGCTGAACTTCTGGGCTGAGGGTGTTAAAGTCAGAGTGATTCCTCCATCTCTCTTTTCCCCTGTTAACAGTGTGCAGCTTTCTGAACCAAAGAACTAGCTGCTCCTTTCATTTTCTCTGTTCTCTAGTCTCTTTTTTTCTGGAATGCTTATTAACTGGACGTTGTTCCTGCTGAACTGATCCTCTTAATTCTCTTTTATTTCCAGTTGCCATCACCTTATCTATTTTTTTCTACTTTCTGGAACTCGGTTGGAATTTGATCATGTGGGATAGAAGAAGGTTCAGCTCAGACAGTGAGGCAGACTCATCACTGCTGGTTACTTTTTGTCTTAGTTACCTAGTGCTGCTGTAACAGAAATACCACAAGTGAGTGGCTCTAAAGAACAGAAATTTATTTTCTCACAGATTAGGACAAGAGAAGTCTAATTCAGGGCACCAGCCTTAGGGAAAGGCTTTCTCTTCGAATGCTCTGTGAGACAATCCTTGTCTCATCCAGCCTTCCTCGGTGCCGTGGCCATCTTCACGCGGCAGCTGTCTTCCCCTGTTTGTGTGTACTTGTCTCTATGTCTATGCTGTTCCTTATAACTCAGAAATGACTATATTTAGGACACACCCTACACTGATATGGCTTCATTAACATAAAGAAAACTCTATTTCCAAACGTGATTTCATCCACAGGTATAAGGGTTAGGTTTCCAACACATATTCTGGGGGGACACAATTCAATCTATAACCTCTTTTTTCATATTAATGGTATTAGAGTGAAAAGCTGCATGCATTTGAGGTAAACAGTTACTTGGAATGGTGTTACACATGATCTAGTAAATTCAGCATTGGAGGAAGGTCAGGAGTTTCTTGGAATGTTTTTTCAGTAAACAAAGGATGAAATGACGGGATCAGATTTGGAAGGCAGTTTAGCGTGGTCATTAAGAGCGTGTCCTCTGGTGCCCTACTGCCTGCATTTGAATCTCAGTTTTGATATTTATTAGCTTTGTGATTCTGGGCAACTTAAGCAATCTGAGCCTTAATTTTCTGAATGTAAAATGAAATATTAGTATCTTACAGGGTTATAACCCCTCCCTCCCCCCGCAAAAAAAACCCAAACCAGTTGCCATTGAGTCAATTCCAACTTGTAGCAACTCTATAGGCCAGGGTAGAATTGCCCCATAGGGTTTCCAAGGAGTGGCTGGTGGATTCGAACTGCCAACCTTTTGGTTAGCAGTTGTAGCTCTTAACCACTGCACCACCAGGGCTCCGTAGGGTTATAAGTATACAATATATGTTAAGCTCTTAGAGAACAGTACCTATTTTATAGTATACAGTTCTTTTTCTATTTTTGTCGCTCTTCCCTTAAAGTGCTTTTTTTTTAAATCTGAAGTGCTATATACATATTTGCTATTGCTATTAACTGAGTTATAAATCAAAGGAATTTTACTGAGCCTATGAGCTCAAGAATTTTTTGAGTACCATATAGCCTGTTGTATGTCTCACTGTATACTCCCACAGTTAGTATAAATAAGTTCAGTGTTTTTGTAATTCTGGTTGCTTCATTTTTTCTACCAGGCTTAGGGCTGCTGCTAGCATAAATGGTGCTTATGGGCAAAGAAAAAGTTCCCTTTCCTCTGGGCAGCTCCACATCAGAGTGCATGCCTTGGCAAGCAGAGCATGGGCTGGTTTCTGTTTCCACTTGCCTGCTGGGCCAGGTGCCTTTGTGCAATATCAGTCTACATGATGGGGCAGCAGCACTGATCAGGACATTGTTTCCTGGAAGGAGATCTGACTTGGAAGACTCTAGAGCTCCTACTCCTTGTGAATTCTGTCAATTGGATTGAATTACTAGTAATGGTACCACTTACTGCCTTGATTCCTTTGATGCTCCCTTGCTGCTCTCAAAGGGTATGGGGACGGGTGAGCCTATCATTTAAAGGACTTAGGTATAAGAGGAAATCAACAAATATGTTGTCAAGTCATTAACATATGGATGTTTTTAAACCCTTGAGAATGGATGAGATCACCTAGGTAATGTGAAAGGAATGAGAAGACAAAGAGGACCGAGGGCTGAGCCCCAAGAGCTAGAACTTTCAGAGGTCACATGAATGGGGTCATAGGAATGGGCAAAGGAGCCTGAAAAGGAGAACTCCAAAAGGAAGGAGGAAAATGGAGGGTGGCTTGTCACAGAAGGTAAGAGGGATAGAGGTACTATATAAAACCAAAGCCTACCTTTGTGAATAACTAGAGGTTACATGGCTGTGTAAATCATTATAACAATACATTACCAACTCCTGACTGATAAACCTCCTGTCTCTCAGGTGAAAGCCTCCGATGCAGATGCAGGGCTTTATGGATTTGTTGAATATTCTCTTTATGATGGATTCCAAAGCTATGAAGCACCTCGGGCATTCCAGATCAACCCACATGATGGACAAATCTGCATTTCTCAAGATATCGACAGGGAAATGATTCCAGCCACCTATGATCTCTTGGTAAAAGCCAAAGACAGGGTAAGTCCTTTATGTAAGAAATCTCAAACAGTCTCAAAAGTGGACCACTGTGAACACATCCCAGAGTAGCAACAATTATCAACAGTTGGCCAATCCTGTTTCATATACCACCACCTCTTCTTTTCACTGGAGTATTTTGAAGGCAAATACCAGATGTTATATAATTTTGTCCAAAGATAATTGAGCAGTATCTCCAATGAATGATGTTTTGAAACATAATTACAACACATTAACAATAATTCTTTAATACTATTTAATATCCATTCTGTTAAGTTTTTCTGTATTATCTAAAAACTTCTTTTAATAATTGGTTTGTTCGACTCAAAATCCAGATAAGTCCACATATTGATTTGATTGAGATATCGCTCAAGTCTCATTCTGTAACAGCTGTCACCTTACATTTTCTCTATGGCATTTCTTTTTTGAAGAAATCAGGTCATCTGGCCTGTAAAATTTCCCACACTCTGAAAGTAGCTGATTACATTCTGGGGATGTCATTGAATATGTTCCTGTATCCCCTGCATTTAGAGCCAAAGACCGGATTAGTTTCAGGTTCATTAAGGTGGTGCCATGTGTTTCTTATCATGTTTCTTGCATCATATCAGCAGACACATACTGTTATTTCATTACGTGTACCATACTCATCGCTGTGGAGTCAATTCAGACTCACAGCAACCCCATAGGACAGAGTAGAACTGTTTCATAGAGTTTCCAAGGAGCGGCTGGTGGATTCAAACTGCCGACATTTTCGTTAGTAGCCGAGCTCTTAACCACTGCGCCACCAGGGCTCCATGTTATTTCATTAGAGGTTGAAAAATGCTGATTTTCTACTTCTGTCATTCCTTTTGCATTTATTATCAGGAATTCTACTAAGAAGAACGTTCTTACATTACCTATTTAATTACCTGGAAGTATAATTCATATAGGAAAGGAAAGATAATGCTTCATTATTTCTCTTTATTTTACCAGTTTTTAGAATAATGAGTTGGTGCCTTGATCATCTCCAAAGGTGACCAATGATAGCTTTCTCAGTGTGGTTATAAATTTCTGGATTTAAGTATATTTGATATGTTTCAATACACTGATGACCTTTTCTGATGTTGAAGTTGACCCATCTTTGACCAGCGGGACATATTCAGTTTGGCTATGTCCTTATTTATTTATTTTTGGTAAACTTGTTATTGGTGTATAAAATGCATATAGAAAAGTCTGCAAATCATAAGTATACAAGCTCAATGGATTTTTGCAATATGAACAGATCCGTGGAAGAAGCACCAGATGAAGAAACGTCACCAGCATGCCACAAGCCTTCTCTTGGTCTTTTGCTGTAACTGTCCTCTTGGCTCCCCACTGCCCTTTAAGGAGAACCACTGTTTGACTTCTAACACCAGACATTAGTTTTCAGTTTCTTAACTTTCAGTGAGTGAATCATACATTATGTGTTTCTGTCTAGTTCCTTTAGCTGAACGTTATTTGTGGGAATCGTTCATGGTGTTGTGCGTTCTTTCGTTGTCATTGTTTTATATTGTTGTTAGCTGCTGGTAGAGTCAGTCCCTGACATGTGACGACCCCACACACAACAGAGCAAAATGCTGCCTGGTCCTGTGCCATCCCGTTGGATTAGTTTCAGATTGAACCTTTGTGATCCTTATGGTTTTCATTAGCTGATTTTTGGAAGTAGATTGCCAGACCTTTCTTCCTAGTTCACTCTGTTGAAACCTGTTCAGCATCATAGCAACATGCAAGCCCACATTGCTTTATAGTATTCCTTTGGGTGAATATGTCATAATTTTGTATCCAGTCTATAATTGATGGCATCCATTTTTAGGCTATTACAAATAGCGCTGCTATTAACATTCTTATACATATAATTTGGTAAATAAATATAAGCATTTCTGTTGAGTATGTACTTAAGGATGCAACTGATGGATCATAAGAAAGCTAAAAAACTTTTAAAAGTGGTTGTACTAATGTATACTGCCACCAGTAGAGTATGAGAATTTCATTTGTTCTACATCCTCACTAACATTTGGTAGTTACTGTCTTATTAATTATAGCAATTCTGGTATGTTTGTAGCGGTATATTACTACCACAGGGATTTTACTTTGCATTTCCTTGATAAACTAATGGAAATGAGCACTTTTTCATATGTTTTTGGCTCTGTGTGAATTGTTTTGTGATGTGTCTATTATTCTTTACCCGTTTTCTATTGTATTGTTGGTTTTTTTCTTCTTGATTTGTAGGAGTTCTTTATATATTTGGCAAACAGACTCTTCGTTGGATGTACTTACTGCATTATCTTCTCCCATTCTGTGGCTTGCCTTTTCACTCCCTTAGTGACATCTTCTGAGGAACTATTATTAATTCTAACAGTTCAGTTTATCAATTTGTTTCCTTTTCAGTTAGTGCTTTTGTGATCTTTTTTTTTTTTTTTTGCTTACCTTAGGACACAAAGATGTTCTCTTCCAAAAACTTTATAGTTTTATCTTTCACATTAATTTTTTAAATCTGTTGGGAGGAAGGTTTGATATTTTTTTCAAGTATGGATATTTAGTTGACCCAGCACCATTCATTAAAAGGATAATTCTTTCCTCATTGCACTGGAGTGTCACATTTGTCATAAATCATGTGACCATATACGTGTGCATCTGTTTCTGGACGCTCTACTTTTGATCTATTCATCTATCTTTGTGCTAACACCGCACTCTCTTGATTATTTTAACTTTATAAAAATCATGATATCGTGTATTCTTTTAGCTTTGTTCTTACTCAAGATTTGCCTGGCTTATTCCTGACCAATGACATTTCCAAATGCATTTAAGAATCAGTGTGTGCAATTTCCGTCACATTACAGCAAAAATAGTGCATACTCTACATACTGTTCTGTGCTTTGATTTTTTCACTTAATTCATTTTGGAGACTGTCCTCATTTCCTTATTAGCTGCATGCTGCTCCTTTGTGTGAACAGACACTGCTAACACCTCTCTAGTCTAATCTTTCTCTTTTGAAATTAGTGGGAGAAACTACCTACTGAAGGCATGGGTTATCAGGGGGAAAAAAGTCTAAACTGTATTTGTTACAGATAAGGATGTAGAAACTAACATGAAGATAAAGTAATAAAATTACCACAATTTTCTTAGAGTCTATTTAGTTAGATTATTATCAACACTTCAATATGTGGTTTCAGGAATCTCTGCTTCTATGTAAGAAAAAAATGTAGGAAACAAGAAGAGGAGTAAAAAGAGGAGTTATTCAAGTCCATGTAATTATTGAAAAACCAGTATGTTTATTTGAACAGAACAAGGGGATACTGTGTGGTTTAAAATCAGGAAAGGTGTGCATCAAGGTTGTATCCTTTCACCATATTTATTCAATCTGTATGCTGAACAAACAATCTGAGAAGCTGGACTGTATGAAGAAGAATGCAGCATCAGGATTGGAGGAAGACTCATTAACAACCTGCATTATGCAGGTGACACAGTCTTGCTTGCTGAAAGCCAAAAGGACTTGAAGTACTTTCTGATGAAGATCAAAGACTACAGCCTTTAGTATGGATTACACCTCAAAATAAAGAAAACAAAAGTCCTCCCAACAGGACCAGTAAGCAACATCATGATAAATGGAGAAAAGATGGAAGTTGTCAAGGATTTCATTTTACTTGGATCCACAATCAACACCCATGGAAGCAGCAGTCAAGAAATCAAAAGATGCAATGCATTGGGCAAATCTGCTGCAAAAGACTTCTTCGAAGTGTTAAAAAGCAAAAATGTCATTTTGAGGGCTAAGGTGCACCCAACCCAAGCTATGGCATTTTCAGTAGTCTCATATGCATATGAAAGCTGGACAGTGAATAAGGAAGAGTGAAGAAGAATTGATAACTTTGGATTATGATGTCGACGAAGAATATTGAATATAAAATGGACTGCCGGAAGAACAAACAAAGCTGTCTTGGAAGAAGTACAGCCACAATGCTGCTTAGAAGGGAAGACGATGAGACTTCATCTCACATACTTTGGACATGTTATCAGGGGTAACCAGTCATTGGAGAAGGACATCATGCTTGGTAAAGTTGAGGGTCAGCGAAAAAGAGGAAAACACTTGACAAGATGTATTGACACAGTGGCTACAACAATGGGCTCAAACATAGCAACAATTGTGAGGTTTGGCACAGGACCAGGCACTGTTTCATTCTGTTGTGCATAGAATCACTATGAGTTGGAACTGACTCAACAGCACTTAACAACAGCAACAAGGTGCACACAGCAATATTAAACCAGGGCTTTAGAAATGTATTCTTTATTTTTTTAATAGTTTTTTTTATTGTACTTTAGGTGAAAGTACAGAACAAATATTTTCTCATTAAACAGTACGCGTATTGTTTTATGACATTGTTTAACAACCCCACAACATGTCAACATTCTCCCTTCTCGGCCTTGGAGGACCTTCTTTTTTTTTTGGTGAAAATATACATAGCCAAAAATATACCATTTCAAAAATTTCTACTTGTACAATTCAGTGACGTCTATTACGTTCTTCCAGTTGTGCTGCGATTCTCACTTTAGATGAAGGTTTACAGAACAAAATAGTTTCTCAATAAACAGTTAGTACACATGTTGCCTTATGACAATGGTTAACAACCCCACGACATGTCAACACTGTCCTTACTCAACCTTGGGTTCCTTATCACCAGCTATCCTGTTCCCTCCTGCCTTCTAGTCCTTGTCCCTGGAATGCTGTGCCTCATAAGTCTCTTTTTGTCTTTTGGGGCTGTCCAATCTCCGGCTGAATGGTGAACCTCGGGAGTGACTTCACCACTGAGCTAAAAGGGTGTCTGGGGGCCACACTCTTGAGGTTTCTCCAGTCTCTATCAGGTTAGTAAATCTGGTCTTTTTTTGTGTGTTAGGATTTTGTTCTACATCCTTCTCCAGCTCTGTCCAGAACCCTCAGTTGTGATCCCAGTCAGAGCAGTCAGTAGTGGTAGCCGGGCACCATCTAGCTG